TCATGTACTTAATCGTTGCCTCCTGTCCCTAAGCTTTGCACTATTGTTTCTCAAACGGGATCCCGGTTGTTTTTTTAACCCGGGAAATATCCCGGGAAATTTTTCTTATCCCGGGAAATCCCGCAAATTTCTTAAAAATTCACTTTTTTTCTTATTTTAGGTTGAGGAATTTTGCAAATAGAAAGCATAATTAACTCATAAACTGTCAGAATAATTTGTATTTATCAATTTTAAACCTACTTATTAGTTTCTTAAGTTTTTGTTCATTATAGCATGTCACAAATGGTCAATAATCAATACATAGCTTATTTGTGTCATGACTCTCAAAATTCTTTACTTGTTGGAACCTGTAATATCTGGAATAATTGTGCTTATGCTGTCTTAATTTTTAACCATGCCCAATAGCTTCGATAACGCGTAACACCATGTTGTACGATGTCTGTAAGTACGAAGTTTTTCTTCATAAACCTGATGATCAAAGACAAACTAACTGACGAATTATTGGGCTATAAGCTTGATGTTTCTATTAAAGCAGTCGAAGTAGACAAATGAAGAATACTAGAGAGCAAAAGAAGTATTACAACCTCGAAAACGAACTCGAAATCTTCCAGGCTACAGGTGAAAAAACACATAATATCTGTCTTCTCTTAAATGCATTAAACACTATTCCAATCACATCAATTGAATCGGAAAGGGCATTCTCGGTGGCAAGACTTTTCATTACTAAAATAAGAATTAGAGTGAGTTATCGGAGTATTGACCATCTTTGCTTTTTAAAATCTTATAAAAGTTTGCAATATTTTGTATTATATTTTATTTAAAAAACGAAAATTACCTTCTAAATTAGAAGTTCATTTTTTTAATTTTTAACTCAATTCAAAACATTTTTTTTGTTGTTGTTGTATGCAGTTTCCAGCAAACTTTAATTAATTTTTTTCTATTTGTGAAAATTTCTACGTTATTTAAAGGTAATTTTTATTATAGGCCTATAGACCTAACACAGCATTATTAATATGATTTTGGAGGTTACAAAACTTTAAAATTACTTTAAAAAATGGAAAATAATTATATCATTTGATTTCAAGATATTTTGTATACCTTAAAAATAATTAATTCTATCCCGGGATTTCCCGGGATCCCGGGAAACAGTTCACTTTTATCCCGGGATCCCGGGACAAGCAAAAGACCGGGAAATGAGAAACCCTACTTTGCACGTTTGGTCTCCACTTTCATCTATCTAACTCCGTTCTCGAGATTATCAAATAGAAAGATGCCCAGTGGAAATTTATAGATCTATAATTTAAAATTGCAGCCAACTACTTAGTGCTTACATAAATTTTTAAAATAAAATACTAATTTTAGTTACATTTAATACTTAATATAAGATTGTATCTAGATTAATTGGAAATAATCCTTACATTCGTAAAAGTCTTGTTTGAAATGAATGCTTTTTACCCACGCAACAGAAGAACATCGGTAGGGCCTTTTGAACCTGGTTCTGAAAACACTTGTCTCCGAAATTTGTTCTTGTATGTAGCTAAAAATATACAAAAATGGACTTATATAAGTAAAATTTTTGTAAACAGTAAAAACAGTTTATATTTATACATTTTTATGGCTTTTGAAAAGAGAGGAGGTCGTGCATTAGGAACTGCTCTTGTCTGTTATTTCTCTCATTCCCTGGATTTTACAGTTAATTTCACTTATCCAATCAAGACCTCAATTTTATAACCTAACAAAATATTTACGGAAACTAACTAAACGCATAACAATCTATTAACTTGTAAAATTTACTGCCACTCTCTCTATACAGTTAAAAATATATGATATAATATCAGTTATCACACGATTTACTAATTTATTTTAGTGTTTGGTTAGCTTTCCTTCCTTCTGAACATTATTAATAAAATATTGGGCATTACATTATAATTTTAAACATTTAAAAGTAAAAGGATGACCCTCTATTGTCTCCGTATGTCACTACGGACCTATTCAATATAAATAAAAAGCAACATTAGATTACTTTAGGTTTAATCGTTATTTGAGAACTAGAAGAAACATTTATAGAAATAGCGGATAAATATAGAACAAATTTATAAAATGTTTACATCTTACTTTTAAATTCGTGGGGAATATCTGAAATGAACAATAAGGAACGCAACAAACAAATATTTTCTTATATGAAACAATGCTTTGTCCATTGTTATGAATTTTTCTAACGAATGTAAGGTTTCAATAAGACAGTTGTTTTATTTATGAGTTTTTATTTATTAAACTGTTATTTTTCAACTGTTATTTCGAAAAAAAAAACAATAAGAGATTGCTATTTAAATAAACCAGCAACGAGTTGCTCAGCTTTCTCGGCAACGTTTAAAATTTCGGTGGTACCATCTGTTATCATGTTTTATTTTAAAAATTTTAATTTTTAACTATTTTAAAACGGCAAAAATTTTCATTTAAGAAAAGGGATGGGTTTTATAAAAAAAAATAAAATAGTTGGAAACGCTAATAACGAGTAAAATTGTCATTAAATCCGATCCTACTGGAGATATGAAACACGACCCCCTTTATCTCTTCGCTCCATCGACTTTAAACCACCAAAATTTAATAGAATGAGTCTTTCTAATGTACAAACCTTCCTGCAAAACTTTAAAAATTTTCGAAGTTAAACACACGATCGGGCCCCAAACATTAACATCTATACATAAAGAATAAAGAAAAAAACTGAATTTTTTGCATTACTCGACGTTTATAAAGGTATTAAAGTGACAATGTTCTTGTCTTCTGTTGCGACGAGCGCACCTAACGGAATTTAAACTTAGGGGTGAAAAATGTAAACAGCATTACAGCATCGTCTCCGTACACAGATCGTCGTTTCATGGCATGCAGGTACGAGCATAGCTTCTTTTGTGGAGGGAAGTGCAAAGTTCCCCCGTCCGCGACAGTCGGGTACTACACAATGATCGCTTCTTCTGACCTAATAATTGCAGGTATCGCTTCTTTCTTTCCGGCTCTTCCTCAATTATATCGCGATATGACAAAGTCGCGCGATTTCCTTTACTTTTATTCATTTTAGTTAAGTATAGTGTTTATTGCTGCTTGAATAATGGTGGAAAAATTGTGAGATGCAAAAATGATACTTCAAAATTTCAATAGGCTTTATAATGAAGATTTGAAGATCAACAAGTTTTCAGTAAATGAGAAAGAAATTATCTAACTGATCTAAAATTTAGTCTTCTTTTAGTCTAAAATTTTTCTGCGCAGTTAAATGCTAAAATACACGAATGAATCAGGAAAGTCCTGTCCTTATCGCGCCATAAATTTTAAAATTTACATACATTTCTAGAAATGAGACGTTGTTCTTAAGTCCATTTATTCATACTTTGAGATATTTAACGTTTTGCGTTTGAATCAACTAAAAAATATTGGCTAACGTTAATAAATTCGGTAAATGTTTTAAAAGTATAAACTGGTTAAATTTTATTATTTAATAATAATTAATAAAATTGTTAAAGAAAATAAAAGACTTTTTAAAACTACAAATCGACTTATACCACTTTCAATGATAACAAATTCTGAAAAATATAAACAATAACAATTTTAAATTTATATTTTAATTCAACTTGGCTTTTCTGAAGTGTATTTTTTATGTAAGAAATAATAATTTAAAATAACGATAATCGACTTTACAAAATTAGTTATATTAGAATTTATAAATGAACAACTATGAAAAGTACTTTATTAAGATAACTAATAATAAATTAATTATATTTCAATCTTATTGTTTTTTTACACTTAGCACAGTGAAGTAATTTTGTTCAATAGGAGGCATGTAAGGCAGTAAACTCGTCACACGATTATATTTCTCTCTTGTTATAGGTCTTGAAGTTGTGTAGGGTGGTAACAGTAATTATGCTAAAATTTTTAGGCCTTCCTTGTTTTTAAAATAAATCAAGAAGTTTAAATTGTGCATATTTTTCCACAGAAGTTTGTAGAAAATGTTATAAGGTTCTTTCCATTTAAACTTCATCAAGCAAATTATCAGCCAATTCATAATTTTCCTGTCTGTATTTTTCCCTCTTTGACAGTGCTTCTTCTTTAGTTCAGACAAAATCTTCTCGTTTTATTTTATACAAAAGGAAGTTATTTTTATTCCTGCAATTCTCTATTACATTGTAATAGTCCTAGGCAGTATATAATTGCTTATAATGCTCTAAAATCTTGCGAAAGAAAACTAAATGGAATGAGGAAAAGAACTTCTCATCACTTCATCTGAGCAGTAACACCGTTATCTTGTTTATTACGTTGTGTTCTTAGGACATTAACTATTATCTGTTATAAAGACTTTAAAGAAAGTTATTTCAATTATTGATTATTATGAATGGACTTATTCCACTTTCAAACAAGGCTCAAATATAACTATGAGTTTTTAATACTGAATCTTATATTTCCATTTATCAGCCTGTCCAGCACATTATTTTGGAAAACATTGTAACCAGCAATGTTACGATAAATTTGGAAATGTGATAGACTGTTCTGAAATCCTTTTTTGTCTGCCCGACCCATATGGATGTTCCTGTTTAAGTGGATACCTTCTCCCATTTTGCAATGAAAGTAAGTATTACATATCGGTATAATGTTTGTTTCATAAAATACTGTATATAATTATGATTTGGTTTGCTTGGTTACGGAAACGTGGCACGTGGGCGATCTACCGACGGGAGAAGCCTTTTGGGAGGTTTTTTATGGGAAAATGGTCTGTTTAGATGCTACTTAAATGAAGAAAACCCGGAAAACTCCACGTGGTCAGCCCGTTGGCGAGGTGTGAACCCACGACTTGTGTTCAGTGGCGAATATCGTAAATGCGTTGAGGTTTTTGAAATATTCTATTGAAGGACGAATCGCAGCTCCTGAAGCAACGACAGACAACACATTCGATCCTACAACAACTCAATATCCAAGAGCGTAATCAATGTCTCCCTGTATCCGAAAAACGCATTATGGATTTCTTTGGCTATTTTATCGGATTTAATAATCTTGAAGGACATGTCGATAACATTATTCAGGGTCGGTGTAAGACACCTACTGCGAGTGTCTTTTATCAATTTCTTCCATTTACACGTAATTTACAAAATTAAATATAAATCTTATATTTTCAGCATAATAAATGAATTTGATATTATGAAATTTTCTATTGAAAACAAAATTTATAACATCATATTCTTAGTTCATGTAATTAAATCGAAAGGCGATTAATTCAAAAATTAACAGTGAAATCCTAATTATCTATTTGTAGGAGTATACAAATTATTTTCATTTAGAAATGATACACATATACAAATATAATGTAAATGTTTTATGTATATTTATTTTTCAGTCTGTGAGAATGGACGGTATGGAGTGAATTGCCTACAAAATTGTCCTCAGAACTGTTATACAACTTGCAACCCTTTTAATGGAACATGTATTGGTGGATGTAAATCAGGATGGCATGGCGCTATGTGCCAAATAAGTGAGTTTAATCAAATATATTCCGTTTTTAAAATAAGCATATTACTAGCATATTTTGATTGTAACGAAAAACATATATAGGATCATTTACAAAATAAAATGTAATCGTTACATGTAAAAGAAAAAAAATCTTTAGACTTTTCAGAACTCTAATAATTATATTTGTGATTTTAAAAATGAATTATTCAAAATTTGAAATGACACTGCGCTACGGTATGTTTTTAGTGCTGAAAGGAATCATAACTGAGCTATTACTGCAGATCGTGGCTTCTCATTTCTCTCTTTTGCTCACTAACGTTCATAATGATCAGCACCGAAACCGTTAGAGATGAATTATTATATATGACATAATTCATAATGTCTTGAAAATAAATTCAATATTTTATATATTATCACTAGGCATTTCAAAATTCAATGTTCACCACAAGCCATTATCCGGCATTAACAAAATATTTATTCCCTGACAGAATCTTCGTTGTTTTCTCATATCAATGTCGGATGNCCTGAGGTACCACTGTATAGTGGTAATTTAAATTAAAGCCGGTTAAATTAATTTTAGATTTTATCATATATTATTTAATAAAATTAACTTTAAATCTTGTCTATTACTGACAAATGCACGCTTAAAATTAACATATTGAAAACACAACGAAACTTTGCTTTTTTACAACCGAATTTCTGTAAACATTAAATGTATTTTAATTCTATTTCAATGACAAAGCATTAATGCCATCATAAATTAAATACTCGATACAGCGTATTTTCATGTGGATTACTATCCTAACCACACGGCATTTCTCCGTGAAATGTAATGAAGGTGCAGTAAATTGATAAAATTTTGTTTACTGAATCATATCTGTAAATATACTATAATGTGAAATAGCAAGAAATCTTATTGTGTCATCATAACACTGCAAGAGAACATCTTTCTTAGAAATTTTAAGGAAAAACAATAAAAAAATAACAAATTTTAAATAATAAACGCGTGGAATGAATGATTGCTTACGACAAAGATGAAACTAAAAGAGGGATTAATCGTTTCTGTAGTTTTGGCGAAAATATAACCCGTGTTTTTTGTTTGATTGTAAAAATAAATTGATTTATTAATGATTTTATAATTTTTTTACTTGATTAGCTTTGTAGCAACCAATAGGAATCGCTCCGATTACTCCACTCTTTATTTCTCTCGGAATAATTTTTTTATCTGGATATCATAGTTTGCCGAAAAGGAATATGTATTAGAATGAAGATAATGATCTTTATTGAGATATTGTAGGAAAGCATAAAGAGATTTGAAAAAAATTCTTTTAAATTTGCATTTTTCTGATAATCAAAGATGAGATGATATAAGAAAATGGCAAAAATTCGTTCATTATTTGATCATATACAACGGAGATGCCTAGATGCTATTCTCACATTACAGGAAATTGACTTTGATGAATTAATAATACACAATCCATAATAATCCAGGTGACAGATTTGGATGCAAACAGTTTATTAAAGGAAAACATATAGATTCAGATTTAAAATTCAGTGTCCGAATTAATCAAATCGTATCTACTCAATGTTTATATTTATCAAAGAACAATATAGTCAGAAAATTCTTATATAATATACGGAAAAGTAGCATCAACATTATTTGATGTGCTGTACTGTACTTGATAAACTTTCACTAAACATAGCTACTGTCCCTTTAAATTTATACTGTGATGATTTTTTTTAATCTGCTCCTTTATTATGGAATTAAACAGCAAACAAAGGTTTTGTTGCTATAGACACATTAATTTTAAATAAAATCACGGTTAAATAATTGTGTGTTTTCAAAAAGTATTAACATGCTTTTATATGAAAAAGTTACCATTTCTATACTTTAACTTTATATGAGTATAATTAGAACTTTGTATACACCGCGACCAGTGTACAGCACATTAATCAAATATTGAATATAAAATAATAGATTTAATTAACATGCATAGTTCAAAAAATGATCCTCCCAAGATTTTTAATTTTTAGACTCAGGGAACCTTAAAACGTCGAGAAATGCAAAAATGTTGTTTTTAAAAATATGAATGGATTTTGTGTGGCATGGTTTTGTTCAGTCAATTTAACGCTTAATAACTCCTGTGGTTTTGTCGAAAATTCCTGAAATTTGCTGGCCACTTATATATTACAGAAAAATGGTTTTAGAAATTTTCAGGAAAACCGGGCCATTTGTTTGGGAGATATGAAAAGGTGGGGTCATATCTGAAAAATTTTCGTGTTATGTAATTTTTTACTCCTTTTCAATGTTTCCAATTTACATGCTAGTATTACTTAAAACTATCGGACTTCCTAATGGTTCCCTTAACCTCCTGTTCGAGTGTCGGGAAAGTCAATCAAGAGCCCTTGCCAGACATTATAATTCCAAATGATGATAATGAAATAAAGGAACAAAAACGTTCGTTTCCGAATAACGATTTATGGTCTTCATTTTAACCATGTTCACGGAATGTTTATTCATTAATCATAATTTATTTTTCCTTTAAAATAAACATCTATTTTAATGAACTAAATATTATATGATCTTAAGCTTTAAGTACTTCGATTTAATATAATAAATTAACATAATAAAGTATTATAATTGAAAAAAGTAATATAAATTTTTCAAAATAGCATTTTACTACAAGTAAACACAGAAAATAAAACACCTTAATGTAGTAAAATGCTTAAGTTTTAATGTAGTAAAATGCTAACATTAAAAGTGCTGAGCACATTTAATGTTAGCATTTTACTACATTAAAACATATAAATAAATTTAATTAATAAACTATTATTATACTATATACTATTAGAACTATTATAAAATGCTAAAATAAGTGAAGGAAATATCAATAAAATAGTAAATATTTTAAAAATTATCAGTGCAGTACTTACAAATCATCGATAGTTTATTATAACACATTATATATATTAGGGTTATTAATTATATTACAGTATTTATATTCGAATTAAAATATTTAATAAGATATTCTCATATTCCTCACCAAATGTTTTTATTACTGAAATGTATATATGTACTGTAATAAATAAATAAATAAATCATAATGAAATACATTAAAAATTATTTTCATGTATTTTTAGATGACGAATTATCATCCACAAATTCTATCTTGGATGAAAATTCAGAAAATAAAAAAAACGAAAAGCAAATAGATGGATCTACCGAAATTTCAATTGCAAATTTGGAAGATTACATTGTAGATTCCACAGAAACAGAAAAATTGAAAAGGCAATTCATGGTATAACAATATAAATCAATTCTATTCATTTCTCAATATGAGAAAATTTACTATTTACATTTTATATGCTATTCAGGCTATTAAAAAAGGACAATGCGAGTTACGGGACGTGTCTAAACTCCCAGTAAATAAACCACAGAATCGATATGGAAATCTTCCTTGTAAGTATCAAACTTGAATATTACATAATTTATCATTAAGAAAATGGCAATTTTTGAAGTAAAATGTATTATCGATAAACTCCGGTTCTTTCGTTACATACCTAATTTAAGACTGTGACATCAACAATTGCCTTTTCTTCAAAGTAATGATATTATGCCATTCATTTGTCCACTGTTTGCCCAACAAAAAGTTTCGTTTGCCTACTCATCAAACAAAAGTTACAGCCCATCCAAATTTTGGGCAGTTTTATATAACTGCACTCAAAATTGCATTCTTTTCCAAAACTACTTGTCATTTGTTCGCTTATATTATAAGAAAAGAAATCAAATTTATAAAAATGTTCTTACATTTCTATTTGGACTTTCTCAATATATAAAGTTTTTACTTTATTTGGTGAAATAAAAATTGTACAAAATATTTTTTAATTATTTAAATTAAAATAAGAATCCTTAAATTTTATTTTAAAATAAAGTGTAAAGTATAAATTTTTTAAAAACAAATTTTAATTTACTAAATTTTCTTTTAAATAACATACATTGTAACAATCTTACGATCACATACTATAATATGTGATCGTAATATAGTGATATCACAGATAGCCTCACTACTTTTAAGTTTTCTTAAATTGTTAATTTCAGTTATTTACTTATTTTGCTACAAAGATAAATAAATAACAAATTGAGATTGACTTTTTATTGTTGAACGTATAACCTCAGCTCTTCATCACTGTAACAAGCAGTTATCTATGCATCTGATCAAAATATTTCTTGGAAATATAAGAATTCATTCGGCCATCGAAGCCAGCAGAGCAAATGTTCTTTTCTACTCACCTGCACATCCAGTCAAAAGGTCACACTTAGTACTCTGATCTTTTCGTAATATGCCTCACTCATAGCTAGTGTAAAAATTGGGAAAGGTATTGTTGTGCGTCTAGTTACGAAGCGGACTATAAATTAACGCAACAAACTCCTTCAGTAATAGCTGGTGAATTTATTTTGTTGATTCACAAAATAAAGTTGAACAAAGTAATACATAGATGCAGGGTACAGCCCTGAAATAACACAAAACCAAGATCAGGCACATAGCAAAAGCACGTTGGCCTAACGAACGCTAACAACGATTTTTGTAAAAAGGGCGCGAAGAGAGAAATATTTTTGATAGTTTCACTAAGACCAGTAGATTTAGATCTGACCATGCCATCTGCAAATTGTGAGGAGTGAGTCTTGCACTCAGGTAATTCATTAGAAAATGTAAGTTTTCAACAGTTGAATCACTAATAAACAGTTTTTTTGCATAAGAGATTATTCCACCGAACCATTCCACCATAGTTCTAGTGAACACAATTGGTGTGGAAGCACTCCACGAATAATCAGATCAGCAACATTCTCCATAGAAGAAACATGATGCCACCATGCAATATTAGTTTCCTAAATTTCAGAGACCCTGTTTGCAACAAAGGTTTTCAATTTAACTGGAGATGAATGCAACCAACAAAGAACAATAGTAGAGTCACACCATAAATGAATTTGATCCAATTTACTTAACTTTAATGAAGACAAAACTTTCTTCAGCAAACGAGAGAATAATAAAGCACCACACAGCTCTAATCTAGGGAGAGGTTGTTGCTTAATGGGAGCCAGTCTAGACTTAGATGTAATTAAAGAAACAAAAACTGAATCATTATCACATATGGACTTTATGTACAAATAAGCACCATAAACTTGTTCTGAAGCAACACAAAAACTCTCTTGAGACTGGCAGAATTAATTAATTTTCTGCTAACATGAATATCATTCAAATAGTGTAAATTCTCATATATCTTATTACATTCATTGATCACAGTTGTGGGTATCCCAGTTTTAGTAACCACAATTTCTGTATAAGTATTTTGCATTTAATAATTACAGGAGCCAATAGACCAATAGGAACAAAAACGGATGATATCACAGACAACAAATTGCGCTTAGTTAACTGTAGGCCTTACAGTAAATTGAAATTAAAAACAATCATACCTGGATGCCATGTTACTCCTAAAGCTCGAAAAGTCTGATCATCAATTATCTTACAATCACTTAAATTTTCTCTCATTTCAAGCTCGGCATTTTGTGTTACTTTATCATGACTTGATGACCACTTTCTTAGAGGAAATCCAGCAGTCGCAAGTAAATCAATTAGCTGATGCTGTAACATCTTAGCTTCTTCAATTGTAGCGGTTCCTCCCAAGTAATCGTCTACATAGAAATCAGAACGTATAGACTCTGCGACTAATGGATAGGATATCTCATTTCCATCTGCAAGTTGTTTAAGACACCTAGTTGCTAGGAAACTAGCAGGACTGGTGCCGTACGTCACAGTAGTCAGTTTGTAAGATTTTAATTTTTCACTGATGGAGTTTCTCCACAAAATTTTTTGTAAACATCTATCTCGTGGATCAACTAATATTTGGCGATACATCTTAGCAATATCTGTAGTCATTGCTATAGGATATTTTCTAAATCGAAGAATAATGGAATACAAGTCTTCTTGGATAACAGGACCAACACATAAAATATCATTGAGAGAATGCTTATTAGAAGACTTTGCAGATCCATCAAAGACGACTCTAATTTTTGTTGTAGAACTGATGGGTTTAAAAATAGAATGATGTGGAATAAAAATTCAGGAGTTTCATGGAGAATCTTAAAGGTTCCATATGACCTAATTCCAAATACTCATTCATAAACTGTATGTAATCTTGGTGCAACTTTTTATTAGATTCAAATTTTCTTTCTAGCAGTCATTCTTTTCCTGGCTTGTTCAAAGGAATTTCCTATAGTCACCTCTAATCTAACAGGAAGCCTTACAACAAATCGACCATCAGAATTTCTTTTAGTATTTTCTATAAAATGTTGCTAACAAAACTTGTCCTCCTTAGTCTGAAGAATTTGCTTTATTTCCTCAAGTTTCCAAAACCTTCTAAGTTGATTGTGAAGTAAATCACACTTATACAACTCGTGACACTCCTCGAACTAGTAGAACAATAAGTTGGTATTTGACCAGAAATAACATAACCAAAGAGAGTGATGAGCAATGCAGGTTGGCCATCACGCTGCATAGTATGACCAGTAATAACATCAAAGAAAATATCAGCACCTAATAACAAATTAATCTCACCTGGTTTATAGAACTCAAGATCATCCAATACAATGTTGGATGGTAAGTTCCAACCTTTATAACAGATTAGTGAACTAGACACTAAACTAATAGGCCTAATATTATCCAGTACAGCACAGACAGATGTCATCGTCTCTCAAATATATTTTTTATTTCTCTGTTGATAGCCCGACGCTTGTTCCGCAGCCATCTTGTTTTTTCTCGCGCGCGTGGGATTGTGGGATTTCTCTTATAACTGGATCTAGTTTCAAGAACTCACTTGGGTCGATCGCGATTGAACCTCGTTTCAGTCGAGATCGAAACGATCGTGACAGCTACCACGGCATAGTCGCCGACCTTGATCACAATCTAAATTGAAATGCTTGGTGCGAACGGGGTATAACATTGCCATCAAAGCATGGAATACTAATAGTGAGTAGTTTTATCAAGGTATTAATAGAGTTAAAATCAACAGACCCTGGAGGTAAAGAAAGTCCTGATCTGGTATCAATGAGTGTACTTAATTGCAGTGGCGTGCCGTCATTGGAAGATGTGGAAGCGCCGCTTCCCTTGTATTTTCTAAAATATAAATACATATTGCGCGATTATTTTCATATCTGAACGTACTTTTAATTACTTAAAATTAATATTTTTATAAAAAATATACCGCATTATGTATTTTATTACAGATTTCTATATGAAATCTGTAATAAAATACATAATGCGGTATAATAATAAAATATCTATGAAAAACAACGATAAGATCGCTATTGTATATTCGAATCTAAATTCGTGTATGCATATTCCCAATGGAAGCGCTGTATATTGTCAGCTTCCAGGGCGAAAATATTTGAATGGTGTAAAGCAGCCAATTTACAGGCATTGGCGCATACACTCACAGAGCACCAACCTCTGGCGGTTTAGCTGGTGGATGCTACACACCATAACGCTTTCAACGATTCTATCCCTTACCACTAGTAGGGAGCTTGACTAAGTGAATTGTTTTAAGATATAAAAAGTAAAGAATATTCAATGTTATTTTTATGTACTTTTCTTTGCAAAGTTATATCTATTGACAAGTAACTCTTAGACATAAAAGTTTAATTATAATTATAATACAAAAGTATTATAATTAATTACGATCCGAACAAAGATGTACTGTACAGTACTAAAACAATTATACGATTTAATATCATTTACCCGTGCCACTTCGGAATTAGACCATGTCCCCGACGCCAAAAGACGAAGTCTCCCCGTGCCTTACGTACTTGCCAACGCCAGTGTCCCGGGACCACCTTCGATCGACGATCAAAGAACCACATCGAAGCCCAGGACGTCCGAACACCTGATTGTCCTAAAGCAAACTATTTTGTACTGTACATAGTATATGTTTATTTTATGTTAAAATAAACGGTTTTTGTCAGATACTTATCGTCCTTGTCTCCTCCGCCACCACGTACGTACGAATGGACCCTACACCATCACTGACGCGCAATTAACTGATTGCTCCTGGAAAACGGCTTCTTACAGAAACACAGCTATAATACTATCAAATGTCACGGCACGCCACTGCTTAATTGTGATTATAGAGAGTGGTAACTTGTTATAAATTCCTTCCTATCTGTATAATGTTGTTCCGGTTCTTCAGAGTTTATTTCGAGTTGATTTTGAATAAGATCGTATTCTTCCAAAATTTTAAGCAAGGAAGTTAGCCTTACTCTGACCTCCTGCACATTGCCCTTTTCTGAATCGAAATTGTCCAGGAATTTTTGAATATAAGACAGTTTACTTTTTGCTATGCCTCTAATTTTGATAGCCTTTCTTTCGTCGAATGATTCAGTGGCGTCATTATAACAAAAATCGCAAAAATATGGAAAAGAAATGGAAAACAATTTGAAGGGAAAGAGAAATGATAAATATTGGCAGACTTACCTTAACTCGTAGCTGTATATCGAAAGTCGAAAAAAACAAGATGGCGGCCACATCCGCCTCGACGAACCAAAAGATGTTGTGCGTCTAATTACGAAGTGGACCATAAATTAACGCAACAAACATCTCCAGCACAAAAAGCTGTGAATTTATTTGTGGATTCCCAAAAAGTAGAACAAATTGATACACACATTCAAGGTTCAGCCCTTAATTAACATAGAACCAACATCAGGCACATAAAAAAACCACGTTTGCCAGACGAACAACCGTTTTAAAAAGCGCGCGAAGTAAGAGAGCGCCCCCTCTTGATAGTTTTTATTTAAAAAAATAAAATAAAATAAAATATCGTCTCTTTGTCCAAACGGGTATATTTATATGAAACGACAGACATTATAGATGTGCGAATTCCATTAAGCAATTTTTATTAAATTTATTATTTAAAAATGAAATTAATGTTTGTTACCATCTTATCTTTGGTTCTCTGCTATTTCAAATATTTTACTATGTTACAATCATGTTTTGACATGTAGTTATATAGATCCTTAATCATACTTTTGTTGAAATTGGCATCGAGTTCTTCACGGTTTTTGCAGCGTTCAGTTTTATATCTACACTTATCTACACTTCAACAAGATTTAAGGTGTTTACTATTATATTTAAATCTGAATTTCTTGCAGGACAATGCGCAACATCTTTGGACTAGAAGCACTGGATGGCTTGTATGACTTTATGTATTGACGAATTATCCCGTGCCTTATCTATATCTGTTTTTCTTCTTTTGCAGTTCTGCCCATGGCTTATAGGAGAAAGGCATTCTGGAAGACCTTCACACCAGCACTATTGATTATTTTTTTTATTTTGAAGTTTCTCATTAAAATGACCGCCTTTAAATTCATAAGGGTTTCTCCATACTTTGATTGTTGAATGCAACATATCTGAGAATATATAAGTACGAGTTATCTGAGACAATAATATAGTATCGAGATACACAAACGTGATTTTATGACGTGTAGTAGCGGCATAAATTTATAATTAATACACAATCGGGCTTAATTTTTACCTATTAGAAGACTAGAAAGAGTGTTGTTTTTCTGTATTAGTAAGAAAGAAAACGTCAAAAAATTAGTCCGATTCATTAAATAATCTCGGCCTTGATTTAATGATATTTTGATGAATTTATTTTTTAATTTTTAGATGACGAGGCTCGCGTAGTTTCACAAATTTGCGGAAATGGTTCCCATTCAGACTACATTAATGCAAATTATGTTGATGTAAGTATATACAGAATGTTGTTATTGTTATACATTGTAAAATATCTCTTACAGAAAATATCCAGATATATTGATGACTAAATCTATAATATAGTTATTATTTCTAATCTTAGCAAAAGATTAAACATAAGAGTCATCTTGAGCTGAAAAAATCTGTCAGATAAAAGGGATGGAAGTAGACATGGGAAGTTTAATTATAATATTATAATATTATAATTAAACTTCCCATGTCTACTTCCATCCCTTTTATCTGACAGATTTTTTCAGCTCAAGATGACTCTTATGTTTAATCTTTTGCTAAGATTAGAAATAATAACTATATTATAGATTTAGTCATCAATATATCTGGATATTTTCTGTAAGAGATATTTTACAATGTATAACAATAACAACATTCTGTATATACTTACATCAACATAATTTGCATTAATGTAGTCTGAATGGGAACCATTTCCGCAAATTTGTGAAACTACGCGAGCCTCGTCATCTAAAAATTAAAAAATAAATTCATCAAAATATCATTAAATCAAGGCCGAGATTATTTAATGAATCGGACTAATTTTTTGACGTTTTCTTTCTTACTAATACAGAAAAACAACACTCTTTCTAGTCTTCTAATAGGTAAAAATTAAGCCCGATTGTGTATTAATTATAAATTTATGCCGCTACTACACGTCATAAAATCACGTTTGTGTATCTCGATACTATATTATTGTCTCAGATAACTCGTACTTATATATTCTCAGATATGTTGCATTCAACAATCAAAGTATGGAGAAACCCTTATGAATTTAAAGGCGGTCATTTTAATGAGAAACTTCAAAATCAAAAAAATAATCAATAGTGCTGGTGTGAAGGTCTTCCAGAATGCCTTTCTCCTATAAGCCATGGGCAGAACTGCAAAAGAAGAAAAACAGATATAGATAAGGCACGGGATAATTCGTCAATACATAAAGTNAACTTTTTTTTTTTTTTTTTTTTCTTTCTTTTTGAATGATCGAAAATGAATAATTATACAAATTATATGTTATTTAAAAAGTAAAAACAATTAAACAGCATTTATATACTTTTAAAAGATTATGTTAAAAGAATTCTATATATTTTTGTAAATTTGAATTTTACATATTTAAAAATTAATATCGAATAATGGCGCTGCGGTAGTTAAGTACTGTATTTATTTAAAAAAATAAAATAAAATAAAATATCGTCTGCTTGTCCGAACGGGTATATTTATATGAAACGACAGACATTATAGGTGTGCGAATTCCATTAAACAATTTTTATTAAATTTATTATTTAAAAATGAAATTAATGTTTGTTACCATCTTATCTTTGGTTCTCTGCTATTTCAAATATTTTACTATGTTACAATCATGTTTTGACATGTAGTTATATAGATCCTTAATCATACTTTTGTTGAAATTGGCATCGAGTTCTTCACGGTTTTTGCAGCGTTCAGTTTCTTATCTACACTTCAACAAGATTTAAGGTGTTTACTATTATATTTAAATCTGAATTTCTTGCAGGACAATGCGCAACATCTTTGGACTAGAAGCACTGGATGGCTTGTATGACTTTATGTATTGACGAATTATCCCGTGCCTTATCTATATCTGTTTTTCTTCTTTTGCAGTTCTGCCCATGGCTTATAGGAGAAAGGCATTCTGGAAGACCTTCACACCAGCACTATTGATTATTTTTTTGATTTTGAAGTTTCTCATTAAAATGACCGCCTTTAAATTCATAAGGGTTTCTCCATACTTTGATTGTTGAATGCAACATATCTGAGAATATATAAGTACGAGTTATCTGAGACAATAATATAGTATCGAGATACACAAACGTGATTTTATGACGTGTAGTAGCGGCATAAATTTATAATTAATACACAATCGGGCTTAATTTTTACCTATTAGAAGACTAGAAAGAGTGTTGTTTTTCTGTATTAGTAAGAAAGAAAACGTCAAAAAATTAGTCCGATTCATTAAATAATCTCGGCCTTGATTTAATGATATTTTGATGAATTTATTTTTTAATTTTTAGATGACGAGGCTCGCGTAGTTTCACAAATTTGCGGAAATGGTTCCCATTCAGACTACATTAATGCAAATTATGTTGATGTAAGTATATACAGAATGTTGTTATTGTTATACATTGTAAAATATCTCTTACAGAAAATATCCAGATATATTGATGACTAAATCTATAATATAGTTATTATTTCTAATCTTAGCAAAAGATTAAACATAAGAGTCATCTTGAGCTGAAAAAATCTGTCAGATAAAAGGGATGGAAGTAGACATGGGAAGTTTAATTATAATATTATAATATTATAATTAAACTTCCCATGTCTACTTCCGCGAAATTATAATATTAAAAAATTATTTTCATTATTAGTTAAATTTGTAGTGTAACTTATGTGAAAATTAAAGTTTATTTTAGAAAACCTAGACAATATTTATTGAAATTAGTAAATTAAGTCATAATTCTCAAATTTTCTTTCATATGTAATTTGTATCTTTAACTCTTATTTCAATTTCAGGGATATAAAAGACCAAAAAAATATATAGCCACTGAAGGTGATATATTTTAAAAATAAGAAGAAATTTTACTTTTATTTTATTCAGATGCAATACATCAATTTTTTTTTCTTTTTAGGACCGAAGCAGACGACAATTCATGATTTTTGGAGAATGATCTGTGAAGAGAATGTTTATAAAATAGTCATGGTCACTAATCTAGTGGAAAATGGAAAGGTATCTTTCAATAATAATAATAATAAATTTTAAAAGATCATTTATTAAAATAAAAGTAAATGCTATTGATCTAATGTTTTAAATTATTTTCTGATTGTATAAAGTATGAGAGTGGTAATAATGAAACTTTACGCATTCAAATGTTAATTCTTTGTTTTAATTTGTTCTCTAACTTAGAAGCAATTAGAGAAATTATAGAGATTTTAGTAATTAAACGGAACACTACTCTGCTAATTCGTGAAAAAAAAACAATTGTTGCATATGATTTTCTTTCATAAAAATTGCAAATTTATAATTAGCTTGGCATTCTGATTTACATTCTAATCGCCACAGTTGAACAAGTTAATTTAATGAATGTGTTTTCTGTAAATCGAAAAATATAGATTTATAATTTGGTTTCTTTATTTTCATAAAAAAAATAACGAATTTAGCAGAATTTTATATCTGCTTGTGTAGATATAATATTACATTTAATATTAAAGTATGTAAGTATGTGCTTGAATGATATTGTACAAGCGTGATTTATGATCTCAAGACATATAAGGAAATGATTTTAACAGAAATTTCTTCAGAATGTATTACTTTATATATTTAAGAAAAATAACATTGTACATATTATAATTTCATTAATAAAGTTTGAATTCATTTTAATAAATCATAAATTTTTAAATATTTCAGATAAAATGTGAAAAATATTGGCCCGAAACTGAAGAAAATTACGGAAACATTAACGTATCGTTAAAAGATAAGGAAATTTGTTTAGATTATGTCGTTAGAACGTTTCTTATTACCCAAGTAAGTACGAATTCTATATTACTTTTCGCTTTAATTTACTTAATATTATAAATGACTTTGAACATTAATTCGTAGGGAAAACGAACGTGGATATTGAAACATTTTCATTACATAACGTGGCCCGATCACGACGTACCCAGATTTACAAATTCGGTTGTTTCATTTTTACAAAAAGTCAGAAATTTTAAACCAAAGAGCAATTCTCCTATTGTTGTGCATTGTAGGTAGGTTTATATATTTACAAATTATTATACGGATATTATTTTTTATAGAAATTACAGAATATCAATATTAAAAGCACAAAGAATGCTCATTAAACTTTTTTGCATTTAACAACTTCTAGAAAAATGTAAATAATAATCACTGTAATTTTGACTTAAATTGCCTTGAAAGATAAATACTGTACAGTACATTAATTAATAAAGTAAAATGTTAGAAAAGCGAAGAAATATAACGACTGACCATTACTTTTCCTAAAAATACAGTATCAACACGCACATAAAAAATATATGCCTATACAGATACCTAAATAAAGTCTTAGATCACTTAGAATTCAGTAAATACCACCTTGAGGTGGTAATTACTGAATTCAATATTATATATTTGGTACATTATATAAATATATACTTATTTACTAATTAATTTCTAGAAGTTATTAGATCTAAAAAAGACAGTTTATAGCCTATAATTGTAATATTATTTGAACTTATATATTTTAGTGCAGGAGATGGAAGAACTGGAACTTTAATTCTGTTAGACAGCATGTTAGATATGGCATATTCAGAAGCCAGAGTAGATCTAGTTTCTTATCTTACCAATATGCGGCAACAGCGAATAAACATCGTGGAAACTTACGTAATACTATTTATATATACAAATTTGAATTAAATCTTAAATTGAAACGAAGTATCGTTAACGTAAAAACATTTGATATTTTTTAACAGGCGCAATATCGTTTCGTGTATCGAGCATTAGCCGATTGTCTATGCGAATTTAAAACATCGATTCTATGCTCTGATTATAACGAAGAAATCGACAGATTAAAGAAAGTTAATGCCTCGACAGGGAAAACAGGTTTTCACATACAATACGAAGTAAATAAATTAACATATATTTTCCTTTTAAATTTATCGTTAAGTTATAATTTCAGGTCGTATTTAACTTACTACTACAATCAAACCTTTGAACAATGGCCATTGTTTGGAGGTTATTCTATATGTAGTCTTATTCAATAAGTTCCTTAAAAAATGGCCACTGTTTTGAGGAGGGGTTTGGAGATTCGATTACATTAATATTCTTCAATAAAGAATTCATTATTTCAGAGCACTAATCTTATTTAAAATAATGTTTTTAATTTGAACACGTTAAATCTGATATCAGTAGAAATCTCCTATTTACAAATATGAAATTTTTATATATACTGTATGTAATCATTTTACTAAATTTATGAAACTTCTTATATCTTAATTCATTTATATCCATTTTTAATACTTATTAAATAAATGTAATATTTATTCAATTTATAGTTGACTTGCTATTGCTTTTATTTATGTTACTGAAGATTATGATCATTACGCTTGAATGGTTAATTAATGTGATTAAATACTTATTATCTGAATTAAAAGGATTTTAATACACTATAGTCTGTCTTAATATTGAATTTTTGTCCTCACTAGAGAATTGAAAAATTTAGTAACGTTTGTTGTTTTACAATTGTGGCAATCTGCTTTTCACTATGAGCAATTAAATCCTGTACTATCTACTACATTTGAGTTTTTTATATTGATGTAAAACTGCAGGAATTTCTTAACGTAGTCTACGATCTTTAGGGACTATTGGTGACTTTCTATCAGGTGTCATTTTGGATGTGAATGCTGTCATCTTTAGCTTTATTCTCTCTTTCTCGAAACTCAATATGAATAAACGATTGTTTCTTTCTTGGATTGTGCATTCAGTTAGGATGTCAAAATCTGTGTGGACATAATGGTTTGTGGTACGTTGTATTCGCATCTTTGACAATGTTTGCCTCAAGTTACGTACTTTTTTTTATACAACGAAAATTATTCATTATGGAGAGAACTTTCTAAATATTTTCTCGATCTTTAATTTGTTTGAAAAATTTGCTAGAAATAATGCTATAGAGATCGAGAATCTAGAATCTTCTCTGTTAATTAGTTCGAAATTAATAAAAATTTATAATTTCGTCTAGCGATTAGAGAAACTTCGTCCAAAAATAAAACCAGCCGATTGTCGTTCAGGATACGAAATTGACAATCAATTAAGAAACAGGAATTTAAATGTCGTACCACGTAAGAATATTTTTTTTCAATTTATTATCGAATTATTTATACTTTTAATTTATATTTGCTTATATTTACAGCTGAAAAAGGCCGCGTGATTCTGCGAGGTTGTGATTCCGAGTCAAATTATATCAACGCTGTGTACATTGATGTAAGTTATTTAAATCAAAGTATTATATTTACGAAAATGTCTTTAACAATGTTTAATTTTAGGGTTATAAACAAAAAGATTCTTTTATTGTAACTCAAGTTCCATTACCAAATACAGTTTCGGATTTTTGGAGAATGATGCTACTTTCTGAATCCAACACTCTTATTCTTCTAAATGAATTAGATGAGGTAAGATTTATGCAATTGGTCTTTACTTTTAACATTCAATAGAACATTTTGATCTTCTAATCTTAAAATATTTGTATCAATTTAATAATTCATTAAATGATCTTTTAATGAATGTTAAAAGTAAATATATCTAGAATTATAAAATGAATTGAGAATTTCTGGTATTAGCGAAATCAATAGATGTAAATTTATTTATTCTCGTATGACAAATGCACTTTGTTATGAGATTAAAATTGTAAAAATTCCAGCAACAAGTTGCGTAACTTTCTCGGCATAGAATTAAAATTGTGTATGGTGCCATCTGTTATGAGATCTTATTGAAAAATTTTTATATTATTAATTATTACAAAATGACAACGTGTAATTTTCAGGATAGACATGAGTTTTTTAAATAATTGTAAATACTAATACGAGTAAAGTCTTTATTAAATCTGACTCTACTCGAGATATAACATATCATCCCCTACATCTCGCATCTCTTGACCTTTAACTAACAAATTTTAATAGCACCAATGTTCCTACTACACAAACCTCTCTGTCAAAATTTAAAAGTTTCGACAAAAGGCACAGGAATTATTAAGCTTCAAAGTAGGTGAACAAAATCGTGCCACACCCACACATACAAATACAAACAAACACAAACATCTTTCTTATTTTATCAATAATGTAGTATTTCTCAGAATAAGAACGGGACGTATTTGCTGGATATTGAAAGTATATCTCTCAGTTATCGTAAATAAGCAGCGAGAATTAAAACATCACGTCATATGATATCGTGTGACTTTTTTGCAAGAAATTTAAAATTTTCGCTATATTTTTATAATTTTTTTATAATTTAAACATATATACAACCCCCGGCAAAAATTATATCACTTCGTCATTAAGTCATTTTTTATGATTTCAAGCGTGTAGCAAATAAAACAAACAAGAATAATCAGACATTTTGCTTATATTGAGAATAATATAAACAAACAACACAACATTATACAAATAAAACACAAACTTTTTTACATGATATACGGGAAAATTTTGGAATCATTTAAAACTGACTAAAAGCTATGGAATCATCTTATATTTACTGTACCATATTTAAAATATTACTTTCTATATTGTCTAATATGAAAATAGTAAGCATGAATATAAACTGTATTCTTGAAACAATTCAATTTATATTCAGGCTTACTATAAACCATTTTTTCTTCTGTTTATTGTAAAAATACGTGGAAATTGCCTTCTAGGTGGAAAAAAAAATTGTAAAACTCCAAAAAAGGAAGTCAACTCAACAAGCACTGTTGCAAAAGATGTGGGTTATTCACAGTCAGCTGTATCTATAATTTGATGCAAATATAAACAAACTGGGAATGTTAAAAAAGGAAAAAATACTGGTCGACTATGAAAGGCATTAAAGCATGAGAATAGGAAACTACTTTATGTAAATTAATGCATATCGGTTTTATTCTTATTCTAGGAAGAATATAGTTTAAAAGTTCACCAAACTAATGTCAAAATCAAATTATGAGATACTTTCAAATAAGCAGAAAAAATCATTTATTCTGCTTTCTGTATATAGCAAAAACAATGCAAGAATCTAACTCCACAAAATATTGCCTATTTATGTAAAATAACATACAAAACTTGATATAATCATGTGATTTTAGCATATGATAAAATTTTCTGTACGTTCAGGTATGTCCATCTTACTGGCCCAATCTTAACGACACTATCAACTATGAAAATACAGAAGTTTCAAATATTTCGGCAGAAATGTACGATTGTATTATAATAAGAACATTTCGGTTGAGAGATTTAACTCGGAAGGTATATTTCCATTACATTACTTTTATACTTTTATTTTCTAATTTTATTAAATTCTGGATACATTTCACAGGGAGCTACTACTAAAACTATTAAACAATTTCACTTAAATAACTGGCCTTCTAATAGCTATATTCCGTATAGCGAAGAAAATATTTTACATCTTATTGATAAAGTAGAAAAATGGCAACAACAAACTGGTACATTAACATCAGTAGTGCAATGCCTGTAAGTATTGCAATTTATATTTCATTATTCTAGAAGAATATTGCTATAGGTATTTATTTTTTCCCCTCTGTAGAGACGGTGTTCGTGCTTGTGGAATTTATTGCACTTGCGTATTTGTTCTCGATAAAATAAAGGCAGAACAAGAAGTCGACGTATTCCTAGCTGTAAGATGTATTCGTGGAAATAGACCACAACTTATAGAAAATCTCGTATGTATAATTAGGATTTAATACTGTATATTAGTTTTAACAAACGAGCTTTCTCATTCTAATGTCTTCCAGTGAAATTTAAAATTTACAACGTTTTTTCAGAACAAAGTCGTTTTCAACGTTTACAATAAATTATTTTGAGCAATTACAATTAGAGTTTAGGTAAGAAAGATCATGGTTACGGCCGGATAACCGAGCGGTTAAGATGTCAGTCTATCGCTTTTGGGAACAAGGAACGAAGACGGAAAGATTGAAACGTTCTAGAAATATTTGGGATGCCGTTCTTTACTATCGGGCCGTCCCACTGTGAGCATGGCTCAATCCACGATAGGCATGAAAAATGGTTTTCTAAGTGTCCTCAGGATGGAACGATAGAGCAGGAAGTTCTTTGCTAGATTATTTGTGAAAAAATTATTTTGAAATTTGAAATTCGTGAAAACACGTATACAGACATTGACATGTATGGAATTTTGCTGATTACAGTAGACCCCCCTATAACACAGTTGATAATTCCGTGTTATATGAATTCCATGTTGTACGAGCACTTAGATTTTACAAATACCTGTGCCGTGCTGTGAATGGCTCACGTATTTGTAAAATCTGAGTGACTCGTATAATTTTAGCAGTAATTTGGAAATTAAGGTATAAATTGTGTTTACACACATGCACACAACTAACTAATTTTTACATTTTAAAATAATTCAATATATTTTTTATATAATGTCATTTGAATGTATTAATAAAAACTGTTAATGCCTAACATTCGATTGTGTCAATAGGCATTTAAATAATGTAATACAACATAGCAAGATGACAAAAAGAAAAACAATTTACAATTGGAGAGATATGGATTTTCCAATTAAAATCAAAGAAAAAGAATCTGAAAAATAAAACGGTTGTTAGAAATAAACCACGCCAAATATAATTTGACATATTTTCAAAATTCTACAATTTCCAGAATACGTAAGAGAAAGATTATATGTATAGTAACCCGATAGCAGACAACTAAATTAAGTATTACGTATAGACATTCTTTAATGCTTAGGGTTTTACTGTACAGTGTTAAATATTGTAGATCCTAAAGGTGTCTTTTTTTACTATTAAAAATTCCACTAGATGCGTGAACAATAGATGTACGATTGCTGTGAATAGATGTATTTAATGGTCTTAATGGTTGGATAATTATTCACGAAATTCAACAAAGGAACAATGCTCATTTCTTAGTAAACAAGAAGGTAGCTGTTTGATAACAATTATAGAACATCATAAATTTATCGCATGATATGTTTTAAAAATATCAGAAAGTATTAACAGCACATGCCAACACGAAACCATTGCTAAATAATCTAGTTTGGATTATCCTAGTGTATTGATACATTAATTAACATCAAATAAGTTATGTCTGGAGAGAACTCGGGTGAATATTATAAGGCAAGAATGAAATACTAAACTAAATCCTGCAGAAAATTTATGGGAGGTTTCGACATGACGTGTTTGTGCTGTAGGAAGATAGTCTAATGCATTATTCATATAAAAATTACCAAATTTATAACAAAATTTTGTCCTGTCAATGAAAGATCAGTAAAAATGATTTTAAACCCATGACGGAGGAAAACTATAAGACTACTAATTTTATAGTTTGTGTGTGCACTTGTGCTCAAAGTACAAACATATCAAAACTTTTTGTCTTACTATTTCTGGCGACTTTGATTGTAAACATTTGACATTTTCATAATTTTATAGGGGAGATCGGGGCAACTTCGGCATGCGGGGCAAGTTTGTCAAGCGCTTTTTTTTAAAAACAAATTAAAAGGAGACTTTGGTTATAGGTTAGGCAGTTCAGTTTTATTGGTGGCTTGTTGAGTGTAGTGTTTTTATT